TTCTCTTCTTCAGTTCCTTCTGATAACTGAGCTACAAAAGAATGAGACTATGCCTTGCAGACTGAGCTGGGTCATTCTCACTTCTAGTACAGCTCCACATTTCAGCTATGCCACCCCAATGCAGGGGTACAAGCTGTTTCCCTGGTGCTTTAAGAAGAGTACGATTTAGCAGTTTGTCTTCACCACTAGTAGTTTTTAAACTGGTATTTTAAGCCACAAGCAGCAGGAAGAGGCTGGGCATGCAGAATGGCAGCAGAAGCAGGCCCTTGCTCACCTGTGTCAGCCAGGCCACCCTGCCCTATGTGGACCTGTAGTTCTAGAAGGTGAACCAGAACCTGATCTCCAGCATGAAGATGTACAGAAACCACAGCATCACGGCATAGCCATGCTTGGCTCTGTGCATCGTGGTGCCCTCATGGCCACCTAGCTCAGTGCCAGGAGGAAGCTCAAGTCACCCACCCAGCACAGGGTTGCACTTGCTGATCTTGACTGCCTCTGGTTCTGTTCCACCAGGTGTGTGTCCATGACAGCCATGCTGCCTATCATCACCAGTGAGGTCAGACCACTTGTGATGGTGGTTCCAGGGAGATAGTACCATGCTCAGCCTGGGCACACATGATTCCCATGTGAGGCTAGACAAGGCCCTAAGTGGATGGGAGAACTACAGTGATTAGCAGCTCTCTACCTACAGGGGTGACTTGGTATAGTCAGGCACCCAGGCACCCTGTGTCCAGCTGCCTTCAGGGTGTGGCTGTTCTGGCCTGGTATGTTTGGAACATGGGGAAGACCAGAAGAGGCCAGGTCAGCTTGCAGGCCAGGCAGCCAAACCCATCCCCACATGGTGTCTCCTGCTGCATGAAGTATTTTTCCAAGCTCACCACCTGAGCCCCCTGTTACATGCTGGCACCAGTGCAGGAGCAGAGGGCTGGAGTCATTGGGGCAGAGCCTCCAGGGGGAGCTGCAGGCCCACCTGAGATACTGAGACTTTCCACTCCCCACAAGGAAGGAAATGGAACTCACACAGGTGGTTCTACAGGGTTTCATGCATCCCTGAATTCCCAACATTTGTTCCTGCTGCACCTGTACAACTGTCCACCCTGAACTCCCAGCAGAGATCAAATCCTCTGGTTCTGCAGGTGCCATCTGTCCCCACCAGAACAGGTTGGCTCACTTCACTGAACCAGGAGGCCCGGCAGATCTTGTCCAGCATCCTGCATGGGGTTCTGGCTCTAGATTTGAGAGGACCCTTATATCACCACCTCTGCCTTGCAACCCCAGCCACCTCCTCCCTGCAAACACTTCCATTCCCTGCTGTCTGCCTTAGAACAACCTGCTTGGAATACATGTTAGGAGGCTACTGACATTGCCCATGTCAAATATAGTACTAATAGTTTTCTGGTATTCAGTTTAGGCTCCTAGTTTTGTGGTGAAGGCGTTGTCATCCATGCTGTGTAACAAAGTTGCAGCCAGAAGAGGGGGAACTCTGCAAAGCAAGAAGTCAATGACTAAACTGAAGCCATTCTCTGCTGTGTTTAATAGTCTGAATGATGTAGTTATTGGGTTTGGGTGTGGGGATCATGAATATCAATGCTAAGCAAAATTGTTTCTTGTAAAAAATGAATACAGGAGGTGACTGGAGAAATGAGAGGGGAATGTCCTAAAAACTGTATAGAGAAAAATGTTATTAGGAACATGTATAATGAGTTTTATGAGAAAATAGAAAGAGCATGCAGGTGCTTGTTCTCACAGACCCTCCCTTGCCTTACACAGGAGTGTATGATGAAACTGGTAAGTACATAGTTAATACTACGGCAAGTGGACTGATGTACAAGCACTGACATTCTTACAAAGGTTAGATGTTATGCCCCTGCTTGGAAATATAGAACAAAGGAACAAGGAACTTTTAACATTAGGCAATGCAATAGGTCCTGTAAGAAACATTTTAAAATAAATCCATTAACCTTAAAAATCTTAGACTTTTGTCTAGCAACTTTAGATAAGATAAGCAAGTTTCATATAGCTGAGGCATTCACTATGCATAGAGGAAAGATTAATGGGAAGGTTATGATGAGGCCATGAAAGGAAAATGAAACAAAACATGATTAATAGAGAAAGGTTATGCATAGACATTCACTTGTGATGTGCTCTTTCTCTGAAAGAATAGAGGCTTAGAAGGAAGAAGGCTAAATGAAGAATATGTGTAAAAAGAGTATAAGGTAAAGCTGTGAGAAGGAACAGCAGAATGATGCCTCCCCTTGCTAATTAAATCTCATCTCCTTATCTTGTCTCTTCACTGGCACCCCCCCTCCTTGGACCTGCCACGGCTGGACCATGGCAGTTTTGTCCTGGCTGTGTCTCAGTTGTTGCTGGTATTTGGGGAAATGAATGAGAAAATAGAAGAGCCCTCACTGTCAACTTTCTGTCTCTCTCTCTCTCTAATACTTTTTTAAAAATGTTTAAATATTCAGTGTTCTAATACCTCTTACAGTAACACAGTACCTTCTTGTCATTCTTCATATTCAGGATTCCTTTGGAAGTATTCAATTATTTGAAATGAATTTTGAATACCTATTTAAATTTAAGAAAAAAGGTATAGTTAGTTTCAAATAGTAACTGAGAAAACTTTTAATCAAAAAACACGATCCCAAGTTAATCTATCCAGGTACATTTGGGGACTGAGCCAGCAGCTTAAAGATTTTCTCTCTCTCTCTCTTTCTCCTCCCTCCATTCCTATCTGTATGTAGCTCTGCATTTAAAATAAATAAATCATACAAAAATTATTTTCAAGACAAATGCAAAACAGAAACAGTTTGAGACATAATACAAACCTAAATAACTAATCTCCATCAGAGCTGCACTTCAGGAAATGTTCAAAAGTTTCTTCCAGAGGAGGAAAATGATGCCAGATGGAAATACTTGACTACATGGGGTATGTACTCTTTAGAATACTATACCGCAGTAAGAAACAATGAAATCCAGTCATTTGCAAAAAAATGGAGGAATCTGGAACACATCATGCTGAGTGAAATAAGACAGTCCCAAAGGGACAAATACCATATGTTCTCCCTGATCGGTGACAACTGACTGAACACCAAAAAGAAAACCTGTTGAAGTGAAATCGACACTATAAGAAACAGTGACTTGATCAGCATAGCCCAGATTGTTAATGAACAACTTAATACATTATCCCTCTTAGTAGTTTTTTTTTGTCTGTTCTACTTAATATGACTGGTTTAATTCTGTAATTAATCCACAGTTATTCTTAAGTGTTGAAATTTAACTGAAATGTGATCCCTGTTAAACATAAGAGTGGGGATAAGAGAGGGAAGAGATGTACGATTGGGACATGCTCAAGCTGACTTGCCCCAAATGGTAGAGTTAGAAGCATACCAGGGGACTCCAATTTAATCCCATCAAGGTGGCATGTACCAATGCCATCTCACTAGTCCAAGTGATCAATTTCTGTTCACAATTGATCATAATGAAAGGGCTAATAGTCAAAGGGAGCTCATAAACAATGTAGTACCTGCTAATATTAACCGATAGAATAAATAAAGGGGAGAGTGATCCAACATGGGAAGCGAGATACTCAGCAGACTCATAGAATGGAAGATGTCCTAAACAGCACTCTGGCCTCAGAATCAGCCCTAAAGGCATTCGGATCTGGCTGAAAAGCCCATGAGAGTATTTCAGGCATGGAAAGCCAAGACACCCTTGAAAAAAAAAAAAAAAAAAAAAAAAAAAAAAAAAAAAAAAAAACACCTAAATGAAAGATCTCTGTGAGTGAGATCCCAGTGGAAAGAACAGGTCTTCAAAGAAGGAGGTACCTTTCTCTGAAGGGAGGATAGAACCTCCACTTTGAATATGACCTTGTCTAAACAAGATAAGAGTCGGAGAACTCAAGGGGCTTCCATAGCCTTGGAAACTCATGACTGGTGCATAGGGAGATTACTGATGCCATAAACAGGAGTGTCAATTTCTAAAGTCAACAACAGGAGTCACTGTGAACTTACTCCTCATGTAGGATCTCTGTCCTTAATGTGCTGTACATTGAAGCTTAATGCTACAGTGAGTACTCAAACAGTATATTTCGCTTTGTGTTTCTATGGGGGTGCAAACTGTTGAAATCTTTACTTAATGTATACTAAACTGATCTTCTGTAAAAAAAAAAAAAAAAGAAATTATTAATTCCCAACTTGACTCTCGCTGGGATTAAACATGACAATAGGTCTGATCTGATTTCATCATCATTTAAAAAATCATCTATTATTTTTCACTTTATGTTTGTGTGGGAGCTAACTGTTGAAATCTTTACTTAATGTATGCTAAACTGATCTCCTGTATATAAAGAGAATTGAAAATGAATCCTCATGTGAATGGAAGGGGAGAGGTAGTGGGAAAGGGGAGGGATGCGGGTGGGAGAGATGTTATGGGGGGGAAGCCATTGTAATCCATAAGCCGTACTTTGGAAATTTATATTCATTAAATAAAAGTTTAAAAAAAAACTAAATGAAAGATCTCTGTGAGTGAGATCCCAGTGGAAAGAACAGGTCTTCAAAGAAGGAGGTACCTTTCTCTGAAGGGAGGAGAGAGCCTCCACTTTGAATATGACCTTGTCTAAACAAGATAAGAGTCAGAGAACTCAAGGGGCTTCCATAGCCATGGAAACTCATGACTGGTGCATAGGGAGATTACTGATGCCATAAACAGGAGTGTCAATTTCTAAAGTCAACAACAGGAATCACTGTGCACTTACTCCTCATGTAGGATCTCTGTCCTTAATGTGCTGTACATTGAGATTTAATGCTCTAACGAGTACTCAAACAGTATATTTCCCTTTGTGTTTCTATGGGGGTGCAAACTGTTGAAATCTTTACCTAATGTATACTAAATAAAAATTATTGATCCTGATCCCTGTTCTCTGGAAGCCCAGTCATGATTCTTAATTGACTTATTGATTCGTTGTCTCACATTAACCACTCATGAAGTGGTGAAACCCAGGTAATGTGCCAGGTGGGCTAGTAAGATGGGTAAGTCAGGGCTCTTCAGAGAAGTGATTTTCATTATTAACTAATAGTTTCATGCTTACCCCACTGCTTTGTAATACATACAGTGACATACCTATAGAACAGGTAGACAAATCAGCAGCCATTCTTCTACAGGAAAATTAAATTAGGTCATTTATCAACTGCTGGGTGATTTCAGATAGTTACTTATCTCAAAATGAAGCCTCCACTGCGTGTGTCAAATCTGTAGCTCAGCCCCTAAAGTTCCCTCAAGTTTGGGAGCATAATTAGTCAGTTTTGTTTCTCCTGTCTTCCTGATATGCTATTTTAATTTTCAGAAATTTCCAACAAACCGAGAAAATGGCCTTTAGTCAGGTATGGCTCAATAAAATGATTTATTTTTCTTCCTTGGAATAAAGTAGTCACTTGTTCAAAGCAATTAACTTTGATCTTCTGTACATATAGTTAATTGAAAATGAATCTTGATATGAATGGAATTGGAGAGGGAGCAGGAGATGGGAGGGTTGTGGGTGGGAGGGAAGTTTTTGGGGGGTGAGCCACTGTAATCCAAAAACTGTACTTTGGAAATTTATATTTATTAAATAAAAGTTAAAAAAGAAAGCAATTAACTTGACAGAACAGGCTCTAAAACTAATAAAATAAATGTTCTCTAGATTAGTGTGTATATGATCATGGTTCTATAATAATAATAACCAGCAACCATATGTGATTATATGGATAAAGAAAAAAGCACATAAGGACCCACAATAGATGCTAACATTGGTTAACATTGGAGTGAGCATTCAGATGAGTGAAGAGTGCACAAATTTTCATAAGATCTAATACATTATTTATGTAATGCGTATAACATTTCAAAAATTACTTTAGCTGTTTTGTAAATATTCACTTGTTTAATCGCATAATAACTATTTGACATTGGTTCCATTGTTATCTCCACTCTATAGATGAGAAAAATAAGACCTGGGAATTCTATTATCACTTGGGCAATCTGAGTATGTGGCAGTGCTGAAATTTAACACCATTGACTGGGCTCACCTGTGTTATGCTCTGCAGTCAGTATTAAAGGAGATACCAACAAATAAGAGTTTCTCATGGTAGTGAGATTCCAGATAATTTTTACTCTTTCAGGTATTATTCTGATATCTTATGAAGAACATGAATAATTAATACAATGGGAAAAAATAAAAATACTAGTTTGGTACATCAGATCAGTACAAGGTCTAATTTATTCATTTAGAAAGAATTTGTTGAGTTATTGCTATATTCTAATAAGTATGTTAAGAACTTTACATATATGTGTGTGTGTGTGTATATATATATATATGCTTTAATTTTTAGTGACAATTTACATGATAATTAGGTATTTCAGTGGGAAGCAAGAGACTTGAATATCTGTGAAAATCTTCTGAAACAGTTATTTTCAATTTTCATTTCATTTCCATTTATAAGACCCCTTCTGTCCAGATTTTTCCAAAAATTTGTACCACTTCATAAGCATTCCTGGAGTCTATGTAAACATCCCCTCTTGGCCCTCAAGAAGCTTTAGAGTGTGATTGAGGTATACAACTCAGAGGTCTGAGCAGATAGGTTTATAGGTAATCTGTCATTTTCACATATTGAATGACTATTACCATCCATAATTGCATAATCATTATATTTCCCCTCCATGACTCAAGTTTAACCATCACAGAGAGCCACATCCCCTCATGTAAAGGACCATCTCTCATATCTGCTTTCATACTCTACAATACCTTAACAGTTATGATCAGGTATTGTTTTACAGGCTCCCACCTTTTATAAAATTCAGCTAGGTTTGTACAGCATTGATTGTTAAATTAATCTTTTCCAAAAGAATGACCTCCTATTTTAAATTCTGGAATTAGTCAATTATATTTATCTCTTTGGTTTAGATTTTTTTTTGAAAGATAGAGTTACAGAGAGAGGTAAAAACAGAGAGAGGTCTTCCATCCGCTGGTTAAATCCCCAGATGGCTGCAACAGCCAGAGCTGCACCAATCCAAAGTCAGGAGCTGGGAGCTTCATCTGAGTCTCCATGTGGGTGCAGGGGCCAAAGCACTTGGGCCATCTTCTACCACTTTCCCAGGCCATAGTAGAGAGCTGGATTAGAAGAGGAGCAGCTGGGACTAGAACCAGCACTCATATGGGACATTGGCTCTTCAGGCCAGGGCTTTGACCAAATAATTTGGGTGTTTCAGTCAATCATTGAAGCAATGCAGTCCACCTATTTTGTTTTCTTCCCCCGTTCGGATTTTCCACTGATAGGCAAAGTGGTTTCTGCTTTCTGTGTCTGGTGGCCAGATCTAGAAATCACATTTTAAGTCAGCATCACTAAAACTTGTGTGGTCATGGGGAATTTTACTGAGAATGGTATAGGAATTGTAAACCAGTGTGACAAGCCTGTGCAATTTAGTAGATAGCTCTTAATTCCTGTAATAATCTATAAAACACATCAGATTTCTTTACTAGTAAAGCTGTTTCAGCTTAATTTTTAGAGGCATAATTTTAACCTTTCTTTACTTCCCTCTTTTGCCCATACTGAAGAGTCAATATGATGTTGTTGTTGTTCTCTCTGGAAATTTTAGGACTCATAGCTGCCCATTATTTACTGTGAGTATCTGTCCTAATTTTAATAATTAGATTTGCTGAAGTGATTGGTTCCCACCTCTGGAATACATAGGAAGGAACTTCACATTTCTCCTGTACCTAATTTAACTTTTTCTTTCAAAAGCAACATTTTTTCTTACATTTGTTGAATATTTAGTGGAGGGATAGCTTATGATTTTAAAATAAATGGAATGTATGTCATAGTAAAAATTAAAAAAAGAATAAGAAAGAATGTAGGAGAGAGAGTGGGAGCTTGGGTAGGGTGGATATTATGGTGGGAATTATCAGTATGCTCCTGAATCTGTACATAAGATTACATGAAATTTGTTCCCTATTATAAAAATTATTAAAACTAAAAAAAAATAGGACCTGAAAGTCATCCTTATTTACCCCAGACATTTTTAATTTTCTTTGTATAATTTTATATCCTATGTTTGGCAAGCAAGGGAGAACTAGGCTGACCTGGAATCCACAAGGAATATTTAATCCTCCTCTTTTGGTTCCAACTCTAGATATATTAAGTGCTCCAGGAAGGACCTCTCAAAAAGGAATCACTGACTACCACCACCCCAGTCCTCATCAAAGATCAAGAGGTGAATTATCTTCATTTTTCTAACTCTGAACATTTTTTGGAAATGCCCTGGCTTTCCACAGTGGTAAAATGCCGTGGCTCTAATAGCTTTCACTGGCTTTAGAGTCACTCCTTCCCTCTTTGTAGTTTGCTGGCCCCAGTGAGCTTTCATGTCTCTTTGAAGAGGCCTTGTTTTTAACATTTTGTGTATTATTTTTTCCACTGTGGATATGAATTTTTCCATATGCTATTTTTTAATCCTCCTTCCTTCACACAAAGATTTTTTGAGCTTCTGTGTGTCTATGTGGCTAACTTTAATTTTGACATATCTAATTTAAAAAACATTGTCTCAGCTGACTCTCAGGGCTGAGCCCAGCATATTTTCTTATTTGATCTCTAAGCCTTTGTAAGAATGCAGAGGGATTTTTCTCTTTCTTTTGATGTTGAAGTTCAAATGTCTTTGATGCATTTTGTGATCTCAAGGTTGATTTTTTAAAATTTTTTTCATCATTACCTCCCTTACGCCTTACAATTTTACTCTGGGGAATTATCACATTAATGATCTTTGGGATGTTGTCCTTAGGTGAGGAGATTCACAGTCCAGCAATGTCTTCTCTTTCCCAAATTTTCATAGCCTCCCTCCCGATCATCCCATTTTTCTCTCTTGCAGATAATATGTTCATTAAAGGCATCACTGCAACCCAGGTATAGTAGCTGAGTTGCAAGAATTGATCTAAATGTTTTGTCAGACTAAGTGGGTTTTTTGAAATTGGCTTCATTTCTTTCTTGAAGTTTCTGACTTCAATACTTATAAAGGAAGCTTACTAAGACAACATCTCCCTGAAACATTGGGACTTCCTGAGGTAGATGCATAATATATGTCATCTGTTTAAGCAGAATAAGAACGTTTTCTACATTATTTTTTTTACATTTTTGCTTTTTTCAATTTTGTTCATAAATCAGGATGTGCGGTACGTTCAGCCTTTCCATATTTTTAAACCCCTCTTTCCTTGTCTCCTCTCCCCATGATGCTCATTCTGGGCCCCATTTTAAGCTGTGTAAGGAGACAGATATGATAACGGATCCCAGAATTTAGCCCCAGAACCTTTTCCCTCTTCTATTAGAGGAAATATGGGAGTAGGAATTAAAACAACAGGACTTAGAGTTTTCATTACAGCAAAGAGTATAATCTCTCTCCTGGGGAGACAAAGCTTTATCATGTACAGACAAAATGAGACCCTGACATATCTAGACTTCATGTGAACCAAGTTTAGGACAGAAAAATGAGGGCATTACAATTTTCTTTATTTATTTTTTTGCAAACAAAACACAGATTTCACAAATATAAACATGCATATAGCATGCATAATTGAAAATGCATCCAGAGAGAAATGATTCAAGTCCTGTTATTTAGGACTTACAATTTATGGCCCAAGACTTCAATTTTTTGATAAAGTTTCTTTTTTTGATAAAGTTTCAAGAGGGATGAGACAAAATAGAAATTTGAGAAGTTCAACCTAACCAAAACTATCTCTTACAAAGATTCTCTGCATCTGTAAGTTGTTCCTTCTATTGATAAAAATTAAACATATTTAAATAGAAGAATTTTATACAATGGGGAATAAGCTCCAAACAGAAATAATAACATTACGGGACAAAATAATTTATAACAATACAACACACAATCAAATTTACCAAGCTTTACAATAGTCATAGCCAAAGGAAAAACAGGATACATGTAGAGTTTGATGCAAAGTAAGGAGCCAAGTATAACTTTTTAGTTTTTTGTAGTTGAAAGTTTGTGTATTTGTAGTTGAAAACCAGAGAGACATACAGAGAGATCTACATCTTCTGCCCACTTATTTACTCTCCAGATGCCCACAACAGACAGGGATGATCCAAGTTGAAGCCAGAAGGCAGGAACTCATTCAAGGTTCCCACCATGAATGGCAGGAATTCAAGTCTTTGGACCACAATATGTCTTTCATTGTACATGTTAGCATGAAACTGGACTTGGAAGCAGACCCAGGAATTGAATCCAGACACTCCAGCATTAGGTGCAAATGTCCTAAGTAGTATCTTAGCCACTATACCAAATGCGCAACCTTGAATATGTTTAATGTATTCAATTAGAACAAGTTTTTTTTTATAGATTTATTTTATTTATTTGAAAGGCAGAGTTAGAGGAGAGAGAGGTAGAGCCAGAGAAAGAGAGAGAGGTTTTCAATCCATTGGTTCACTCCACAAATAACCACAATGGCCAGAGCTGAGCTGATCTGAAGCTAGCAGCCAGGAGCTTCTTCTGGGTCCCCAACATGGGTGCAGGGGCCCAAGGACTTGGGTCATCTTCTACTGCTTTCCCAGGCCATAGCAGAGAGCTGGATTGGAAGTGGAGCAGCCAGGACTAGAATTGGTGCCCATATGGGATGCTGGAACTTCAGGCCAGGGCTTTAACCCACCATGCCACAGCGCCAGCCTGAGAACAAGTTTTATGGGTACTTAAATCTATTTGGAAAATAATTCTTATGTGTTTCTCTGCATAAGATCCTTTGTCTTTTTCATGATTTACTACACAAGCAATACGTGTGATGTGTTAAAATAATTTAATCCACACAACAAAATTAGGTGAGGTAATACATTATGCATTTATAAAATAAGGCCAATTACTTCCCTAAGCCCAAAATGTTAAAAAGGTAAAATGGTACATTGCGGGGAATATAAGCCAGGGGTAAGTTTCACACAGTGGTGTAAGACACTAGTACTCAAACAGTATTATTCACTTTGTGTTTCTATGTGGGTGCAAACTGTTGAAATCTTTACTTAATGTATGCTAAACTGATCTGTATATAAAGAGAATTGAAAATGAATCTTGATGTGAATGGAAGGGGAGAGGGAGAGGGAAAGAGGAGGGTTGCGGGTGGGAGGGAAGTTATGGGGGGGGAGCCATTGTAATCCATAAGCTGTACTTTGGAAATTTATATTCATTAAATAAAAGTTAAAAAAAAAAGACACCATTTAAAATGCACACATTGGTATTGGAGTGCTGATTGCAGTCCTGGCACCTCCACCCCAACCCAGCTCCCTGGTTAAACAATACATTAAAGCTCAAGATGATGCCTCAACAGTTTGTGCTACTGCCACCCACAAGGAGACATATCTGAGCCCTGGATCTTGGATCCTTGCTCCTGGCTATGGCTTTTTCCAACCCTGACAGTTGTGGTAATTTGAGGAGTGAACTAGCAGATGGAAGATCTCTGTTCCTTCTTTTAGTTCTGTTTTTGTTCTGCCTTTCAATTAGATAAAGTAAATAAATAGCTGTTTTTTTAAAAAGTACAGATAAAAAAATCATGAAAGGTACAGTGGAAAATAACCTTGTTATCAAAGATAATAGCTTTGAAAATTTCACAAAGAAAGTATCATTTTACAATAAATCATTCTTTGAAGAAATTCATATGGCTTTGCTCATATAAAGTAATTATCATTTAAGTATATGGTATAACTATTGTTAAAGGACAACAACAAAATGATTGTTACAAATGGCCATGGTGACCTCACTGTCATCTGAAACGCCCCAGACTATTATGAGTGGTCTTACTTTAAATTTCTGTGTTGATGCCTGAATCACTTGAAATGCTTTGTGAAGGTAAGAATACTGAATGAATATAAGGCCACTTTTTATATATGCTAGAGTTATAAAATATCTATGCACATTGCTTAGCACTGCACATGGAACACTGATACATTAGTGCTGGCCATTTCAGAAATTTGCTTTATATTAAAATTGAATGAGAATTGTGTATTATAACTCTCATACAAGGAGTTAAGATACTTCCCAGTGTATTCTGTGTTCTTCTCAGTGTGAATGTCATTCTCGGCCATTTTTGTTGATTCTGCTTCTCCTGTGTCTTTATCCAAGGTCAAATGTATGCTATATGTCACCAGGAATACTGAGGTAACCTTTGAAATGTGTTCTTTGCCACTCTGCCTCCCAAATCCTTGCCCAGACTTGTAGCTGTTCATATATGTTTTAAAATGTATACCCCATTGCTTAAAAAAACACAACTGTCAGGACCAGCATTGTAATACAGCAGAGTAAACCATGATTACGATCCTGACATTCCATTCATAGTGTCAGTTCAAATCTGGGTTGCTGTACTTCCAATCCAACCCCCTGCTAATTCACCTGGAAGAGAAGTGGATGATGGCCCAAGTACTTGGGCCCCGTCACCCATGTGAGAGAACTGGATTGAGTTACAGGCTTCTGTTTTTGTCACTTGCTCAACCATCAGCCACCAGAGTTATTTGTAGAGTAAAACAGCAGGTGGAAGATCTTTTTATCTTCCTCACTCTTTAACTCCACCTTTCAAGTCAATTGTTTAAAATCTTTAAAAATCACCATATCATTTGTGAATGAAATACAGTTAAACATTTCAATTTAAATCATCATTTGTAGTATTTTCTATGTCTAAACCACTGCTTTAGATATTTGTGCAGTAGAATTTTTGTTTTCAGTTAAGAAACGTCGTTCCCTTTTTGTGTCTTTCATTTATATTTTATAATTTTTATTGTAGTGATCTTTCACTTTTTTGGGTAAAATTCATTACAAAATATCTGAATGTAGCTGTTATGAATGGTGATTATTCATGATTTTGCTTTCACAGAGTTCATTACTAGTACATGAAAAAACAACTGCCTTTTTCATGTTGCTTTTGTAAAATGCACCTTTACTGAACTGAATTATCAGTTCCAAGAACATTTTTGTGCAGGGTTTAGATTTTTCCATATACAATAACATCATCTGTTAACAAGAATATTTTGAGTTTCTCCATTCCAATTTTGTGGCCTTTCTTTCTCCTCCCTATTTGATCCTCTTATATTTCTAATATCATACAGAATAACAGTGTTGAAACTAATAATGTTTTGTTCCAGACCTGAGAGGAAATGATTTCAGCATTTCCCCCATTCAGTATGATTTTGACAAGATGCCAAAAGGTAGCCTTTATAATTTTGAGGTCAGCTCTTATATTAAATTTTTGATGGGCCATTAGCTTGAAGCGTTCTTGAATTTTGCGAAGTGCTTTTCCTCATATATTAGATGCTTATATTCTTGTACATTCTATTGACATGGTTTATGGTGATTTTTATTTGTGAAGGTTGAATCACCTCTGCATCTCTTAGATAAATCACACTTGATCTGATAAACTATCTTGTAGATGTGTTGGATTTGGGTTGCTAGGCTTTGGTTGATAACATCTGCATCTATTTTCACCAAGGACATTGATTTGTAGCTTTGCTTTTATATTGTGTCCTGTTCTGTTTTGGTATCAGAGTGATCTGTAAGAGGTTTGGCAGATTCACATCCTATTCATATTTTTGTATATGATTTAAAAGGTGTTTGAGTTAGTTCTTCTTAAATATTTTGTAGAATTCAGTAGTAAAGGGTATCTGGATATTAAATTACTAATATTAATGAATCTAAAGGGAGACAATCAATTTATTTTTTTTTTTTGGACAGGCAGAGTGGACAGTGAGAGAGAGACAGAGAGAAAGGTCTTCCTTTTACCATTGGTTCACCCTCCAATGGCCGCTGTGGCCAGCACACTGTGGCCAGCACACCACGCTGATCCGAAGCCAGGAGCCAGGTGCTTCTCCTGGTGTCCCATGGGGTGCAGGGCCCAAGCACTTTGGCCATTCTCCACTGCACTCCCAGGCCACAGCAGAGAGCTGGCCTGGCAGAGGGGCAACTGGGGACAGGAATCCGGTGCCCCGACTCGGACTAGAACCCAGTGTGCTGGTGCTGCAAGGCAGAGGATTAGCCTATGAACCACTGTGCTGGCCAGAGACAATCAATTAACACAATAGTAAGGGAGGACATCAACAACACCCCACTTTCTTCAATGGACATATCAACTATACAAAAAATCAGTAAGAAACCAGAGCTAATCAAAACTCTGGACCAAATGTACCTACTGGTATCTACAGAACTTATTTTTTTTAAAGATGTATTTTATTTGGGGTAAGTCCAATAGAGCATGTGCAAAACTGTACAGTTAGAAATGTGCCAGGGGATTCCAATTCAGTCCCTTCAAGGTGGCATGTACCAATGCCATCTCACTAGTCCAAAGTGATCAGGTTTCAGTTCATAATTGATCATAATAGAGAATTAAGTGTCAAAAGGATCACATAAACAAGGACTAGTGTCTGCTAATATTAACTGATAGAATTAAAATGAGAAAATATACAACATGGGAAGTTGGATACACAGCAGACTCATAGAATTTTAGATGTCCTAAACAGCACTCTGGCCTCAGAATCAGCCTAAGGCATTCAGATCTGTCTAATAAGCCCATGAGAGTGTTTCAGGCATGGAAAGCCAAGACACTCTGCAAAAAAAAAAAATAGCCTAAATGAAAGATCTCTGTCAGTGAGATCCCAGAGGAAGAATGGGCCATCAAAGAAGGATGTACCTTTCTCTGAAGGGAGGAGAGAGCTTCCACTTTGGCTGTGGGCCTTGTTAAATAAGATCAGAGTTGGTGAACTCAGCAGCATCCATAGCCTTGGCAGCTCATGACAAGAGCCTCCAGTGTTGTCAACTGGGGGAGAGAGAAAGAGAGGAGACAGACTTGGCAGGGACTGGGGGACAGGGCGGAGAAGAGCAAGAGAGGGAGGCAGTGAGGCAGTGAGCGAGCATGCCAGGAGTCAGTGAGAAGGGGCAAAGCTGCCACTCCTGCCTGAGGCACCACAGATGGGAGGTGGGGGAGCAGGGAAGGAACACAGAGGGAAGAAGAAAGGCCAAGAGGAAAGGGGCCGGAGGCAGTGGCGGCTGCTTGCCTGCTGCTGCTGCTGGCTGGTGGTTATAGGGGAGAAGGAGGAGCAGGTGGAGGGCAGGGGTTGAGGGAGTGAATGAGAGAAGCAAATGCGTGAGGGAGGGGAGGGAATGGAGGGTCACGCGGGGGCACACATGCGCACAGGAATCACTCTCAGAGGCGAGTGTAACTGGATCGGGTTTGCTGCCAGCGGTATGAGCTTTGGCCGCCAATTTTACAACAGCTCCACTTGCAGGGATACAGGGAGCAGGGAGCATGCAACCCAATCCCCTGGGACAGGATTCTTGGCCATAGCCCAAAGGGGAGGGCTAGTTGCACATAGGTGAGTTAGATGAAAAGCTATTGAAGCTTTGAAAGAATTCATGAAGACGGTGCATTGGCAATTTTCAGCAGTTTAATGACAGTGATCTCTCTCTGTTCAGAGACAAAAGTGCCTTTTATGTGGAGTCATGAAGACTTAAAGGCAGAGAGAAAAACAGGGGACCAAAGTAGCGGACTCTAGTAAAGGACCAGATGAGACAAAAATTAAGCACTCTTGGGAAGAACAGGCTACACACTTGATGTGACCACTGGACAGAGGAAGTATGGGGGACTGCCTCCAGATTCTGTTTATTCAGGTCAGCAGCCTTCTGTATGGCATTGAGGATAATTTGTGGGGAAGATCCCAAGCAATCTATTTGAGGATGTGCTTGTTCCGTTATGTTGAGAAAGCTGGACCTATTTGGGATCTTCGTCTTATGATGGATCCACTCACTGGTCTCAATAGAGGTTATGCATTTGTCACTTTTTGTACAAAAAAAAGCAGCTCAGGAGGTTTTTAACTGTATAATAATCATGAAATTCGTTCTGGAAAACATATTGGGTGTCTGCATCTCGGTTGCCAACAATAGGCTTTTTGTGGGCTCTATTCCTAAGAGTAAAACCAAGGAACAGATTCTTGAAGAATTTAGCAAAGTAACAGAGGGTCTTACAGACGTCATTTTATACCACCACCAGATGACAAGAAAAAAAAAAAAAAACAGGCTTTTGCTTTCTTGAATATGAAGATCACAAAACAGCTGCCCAGGCAAGATGTAGGCTAATGAGTGGTAAAGTCAAGGTCTGGAAAAATGTTGGAACTGTTGAATGGGCTGATCCTATAGAGGATCCTGATCCTGAGGTTATGGCAAAGGTGAAGTACTTTTTGTATGTAACCTTGCCAATACTGTACAGAAGAGATTTAGAAAAAGGCATTTAGTCAGTTTGGAAAACTGGAATGAATGAGGAAACTGAAAGATTCTGCATTCATTCATTTTGATGAACGAGCTGGTGCTGTTAAGGCTATGGAAGAAATGAATGTCAAAGACTATGGAGGGAGAAAACATTGAAATTGTTTTTGCTAAGCCACCAGATCAGAAAAGGAAAGAAAGAAAAGCTCAGAGGCAAGCATCAATCAAATGTATGATGAGTACTGCTATTATGGTCAACTCATATGCCCCCTCCAACAAGAGGTCGAGGGCGTGGAGGTAGAGGTGGTTATGAATATCCTCCAGATTATTATGGATATGAAGATTATTATGATTATTTTGGCTATGATTACCATAACTGGCATGGTGGATATGAAGATCCATACTATGGTTATGAAGATTTCAAGTTGGAGCTAGAGGAAGGGGTGGTAGAGGAGTAAGGGGTGGCTGCTCCATCCAGAGGTCATGGGGCTGCTCCTCCCTGTGGTAGAGCCGTTATTCCAGAGAGGAGGTCCTGGATCACAAGAGGCATTGGTGGGTGAGAGGAGGGTTTCAAAAACAAAGAGGCATGGGGGCAGGGAAAAGGGGTCGAGCCTGTCCTGACCTGTACAATGAAGACAGGCTTGCTAGTTGGATTACACCAGAAGCTTGCAGTGGAGTAATGGTAAGGAAATCAAGCAACCTTAAATATCTTGGCTTATAGGAGCATATTCTATGCAGAAGACCTTCCTATGAAGATCATGGAATCAAATCCGGACATTGAAAACTATACTTGACTTTGATATGAATTTCTTTACAATTTCTATGCAGTGCAAGTTATTAAACAAAGCTACTCTATTTCCAAATGTGTTCCAACAGAAATCCTTCATAACTTCTAGCATGATCGCTTATAAGGAAGAAAGTTCTTCTCTTTAAAAAATCTCTCTAAGTAGATTTTTCCCCCTTTTTTTTAAATTAAGGATCCCAGCAGTGGTAT